TTATAACCTTCAGGGGACATTTAGGTTGCCTATTTGACATTTTGGTGGCTTAACCCTCTCATTTTCCCTTCTGAATAATAAAAATGATTTTACCCAAGTTCCTCCCATCTCCCCCTATGAAACAGGGAAGTGATACTGAACTCAGCATTCCTAAACTCTGCTTTAAGAAACCACTCATAGTAACCCTGTTTTTATTTCCAGTGATTGGTTTAGAAATGTACAAAATTCAGGTTTGGCAATTGAAACCAAAGAAGAATTCTAATGGGGAATTTTTGAGAAAAGTTTCCTTGCTCTTGAGAAAGAGACACCAAAGAAAAAGTTTCTTCTCCTTCTGTGAAAATTTGTGTTGTTTATACTTTTTGGCTATTATGAATAATGCTGCTATGAACATTCCCATACAAGTTTTTGTATAGACATAGATTTTCAATTATTTTGGCTATACAGCTAGGAGTGGAATTGCTGGATCATTTAACTCTATGTTTAGCTTTTTGAGGAACTGCCAGATTATTTTCCCACACAACTGTACCATTTTATATTCCCACCACAGTATAGGAAGTTTCCAATTTCTCTAGATCTTCACCAACATTTATTATGTCTACCTTTTTGATTGCAGCCTTCTTTCTGTCCACAGGATGTTCAGTCTTTTGGAAAATTGCTCACAGAGCGGACAGAGTAAGAAGCAGGGTTCTTGGTAAGGGTGGGAGCTGTGACTAGAGACTGTCTTATCTTTGCACTTATGTGAGATGATAAATTTCCTTAATATTCATACTAATTTGATTCAGCATTTTGGTTTCTGTAGGCCAAAGCATCTGAACTACTATATAACATTTCCTTTCTAATAACCTTTCAGTTTATTTAGCTGAATCTTTTTGCTAATGTCTAAGCTCTACAGGAACTCTGTTGGATAATTATATTGCTTTCCTTAGTGCTCTAAATGTTTATTGATTTGTGATGGCCTCAAACATCACTAATTGATGCAGAGCATGTGTGCTGCAAATAGGTTACAGGTGTAATGAGATAGTGACTCTGGTCCTTAGGGTGACTGGGTAGAGTCTGGAGTAGCTGGAAACCTCATGGTGGTCATCTTTGTCCTGGAAGCAAGCAGCATCCTCCATTTATTCAAGAGCGCTGAATACATATCATTTTCCAATGTGTACACTGAATTAATGTATTGTTTAGCTTATTTCAAAATAATTAGAAAAGATATTTAATAACGCTAAACTTAAAGTTCACATGGAATATCAGTAAATTAAATTGGAACATCAATTAAATAATTAATGGAACAGTCTTCTAGTAGCCTGAAGCTAGTTCTACTTCTTTTTACTCCATATCCCTTTTGTGTATTATTGCCATTGACCCTTAAATTCTCTATGGGAATAGGGAAGCAATAACAAACTCAAGAGCACTGGTTTAGAACACAGACCACCTGAGTTCCAGTCTCTGTCTGCCACAGGACTGTGAGTGACTCTAACCTTTCCAGAATTCATCTGATCTATTGAGACTGGGATTAGTTGATCCATGGCAGACCAAGTGCTTCATTTTGATGAAAAAAAAAGTTTCTATATTCATTGGTTAGCAAATTTGCTGCTTCTTTATAAATAAATGCTGTTTGTTACTCAGGGAGCTTATATTTTTTCTTCTCATGCTATTTATATTATATTTAGTCCTCCAACTGTTTGGTTTTCAAATGTTAAATGGTAGACAGCAAGGATTTTGAAAATAGTAGGTATAGCAGATAATGTCACACTATCTCCTCTGATAATGAATAGTAACTTCATAATAATTTATTTATTATTTTTTTTAAGATTTTATTTATTTATTTGAGAGAGAGAATGAGAGATAGAGAGCACGAGAGGGAAGAGGGTCAGAGGGAGAAGCAGACTCCCTGCTGAGCAGGGAGCCCAATGCGGGACTCGATCCAGGGACTCCAGGATCATGACCTGAGCCGAAGGCAGTCGCTTAACCAACTGAGCCACCCAGGCACCCTAACTTCATAATAATTTAAAGTATTATAACCTTAAACTAAAGAAGAAGCTCTGTGTAGGAGGATAAGAAGAAGTTAAGGACTGAAACATAATCAGTAGCAAATTTATGAAACTGTGTTCCCTCAAAAATTCTTCATGAAGTCAAATGTAAAATGGTATCCAAACAAACAAAAACAAAATACCACGAAGAAATCCCCATAATAAAGCAAAACAAAATTTATTATTACTCTTTTGAGGGTAGTTAGGATTCTAAAACATTTTGCTTGCTTACTCTTTTTACCTCCGTTACAAAACCACAAGTCCTTAAATGTCCTTAGTGTGTGTATGTGTGTGTGTGTGTGTGTTTGTAGGAATGGGGGAGGGATGGGAGGCAAGAGGTTGGCAGAGAGGATAAAGAAGTTATTTATCTCTTTCTCATATCTCAGAAAGACATCATGACCCACCTATATTTGCTACTGCAGCAGTGAAGCATTTTTACCACAAGTCTGCAGAATTGAAGTATTTAAGACAAAACACAAGATAACGTGTTTCACGCTTAAAAGCATGATAGACTCCAGCTTACAGGTAAGGTGAGGTGAGGAGACTTAACACTCTGGAGTTTTAAATATCTCTGATACAGTGTTTTGGCTGCAAAAATAACTCCAAAGGAACATGACCTGACCTAAAGTATAGGGACGAGTCTCTTATCTGAGCAATATAAGGTGTGGAGTCCTTTTAATAAAATCCAGCCCCGCATATACTATATAGCCTCTGAACACCATGGCACCAACCCTGTGGTTCACTTCCTGTTTGGGATTCTGAAGTGCCCCGGGGAAGGAGGGGGAGCTTAAGGGCTCCGACTATGCTTAACACAGTGGGGAAAGAGCAGCTTTGAGGTATCATAGGATACAGACATCTTCTCTGGAATGATTACAAACACACTACTGTTTCTGGCAGAATTTTCAACATTGCAAATGAACTAGAACTCTACCACTGCATCTGTTCACATATGCATTCATAAATTATTTATTACATACTTACCTTGGGTTAGGATACAGCCCTTAAAAAGGTAATAACCCTGCCTTCACGGAGCTTTCATTCTTGAGAGGGAGATTGATAATACTGAAACAACAAACAGAAGCATTGTTTCAGAGAGTGATGAGTGCTGTGAAGAAAAGCAAGGTCCAGTCTTTACAGAGGAGACTGTTTGTGGCTATTTTCCGTTGTGTGGTCAGGGAAAGGCTCTCTGCAGAGGTGACATTTGAGTTGAGACCTAGAGGACAAGAAGATACCAGCAGGCAAAGTACCAGGCAGAAGGAATCATTCTTGCGCAAGGAACATGCAAGAGGGATGGTTAACAATGCTGGATAGAACTTGCGGACTTCCAGGAACCGCAAGAAGGCCTCTGTGGCCAAAGCTTCGTTAGCACGTGTAGAGGAGGATCCAGAATTAGACCAGGAGTTTCGCTTTTATTTTAACTGCGATTGGTATCCATTGCAGGTTTTAAAGATTGTATGGAAATGGGGTGATTTAATACAGTTGACATTTAAAAATATAATATTGTACTTCGATTTCACTTCTTTAAAACCTAATTTCTAATTCCGTACGGGTCAAACGACCCCCCAGCCGCCCCTGTTTGCCCAGGCTGTTTGCGGTCGCCGCCGGCTTGTTTGCACCCGACGTCCTGCTTTTGACAGCCCCGGAGGAGTGTGTGACAGTTGGCAGGCGCAGTGAGGCACCGCCAGAGCCAAGTCGCTGCAGGGGCCAGGGCTGCGGGAGGGGAGGAAGGGAAGGAGGCTGTGGCGGCGCGCTGGGAGGGCCGAGGCTTTCACTGCGAGCGTAGCGGCGGCGCCCACTTCGAACAAGAATAAGGAAGCGGGCCCCTAAGAATCCAGGGTCCCTGGGGCCCTGGTTGTTCCATCCCAAAGGTTCGCGGGGTAATGCCTGGATTTGACATTGAAAACAATGCTGGCTCGCGGTGGGAGGCAACGGCGCGAGTAGAGGAGGCAGGAGCAACTTAGAGACTTTCCACTTTAACTCGGTAGCTTCGCCTGGCCTGGCCACGGGCCCCTGCGGCTGCACCCACTGGAGCCGCAGGTGTTGATTTAAAGCTCGGCTCCAGCAGGCCTTCTGCTCCTGTATCGCGACGCCCGCACCCCCGGCGAATCCAGCTCCAGGTTTTGTGATCCGCTTGCATGTAGAGGCCGCACCCTGAACTGCCCTGTGTAGGACTGGAACCTGGGCATCTGGGGCCCTGCGGGGGTCCCCGCCCTCCCATCCGTCTCCTGGCCTCCGACTGGTAGGGACCACTCTGGTATGGGCGGGCAGCCCTTCCGGGATGACCCACAGCACCTGCTTCCTCTGGCCTTGGCAAAGTGAGCAATCCGGAGCCAGTCTCAGCAGGGAAACCGAAGCTTCGAATTCTGGGGAGCGACCTTCGCCCGGGGCGCCAGCTCTGCCTCCAGATCGCGGCCTCAGTGGCACCTCTCAGTGAGGCCTCCCTTCACCAGGCCGTCCGAATTAGCTATCCACTCACTCTCCATCACATCACCCTGATTTAATGCTCAGCGGGACATTTCTTTCAGTCTTGTGTGCCTTCTATGTTTGTTTGTTGTCCTGTCTCTGGAATGTCACTACACGGGGCAATGGTCATTGTTTTGGGGTGCAGTATCGGGTTCCCGGCGCCTAGGACCCGGCCGGGCCGGGACGCAGTAGGCCGTCATATTTGCTGAATGGCTGAATACTGTCCCCTAGTATTGAAGAGCCTGAGCGGCAGTTCTTCCTGGAGGGGCGTGGCTCTTTAGGCCCCGCCCATTAGACACGCCCCCCACCCGCTCCTCCCCTTCCTCTCCCAGGAGTCGGCCTCGGGCTGCGTGGTGTTTTTCCTTCTGGCCTCCCTCGTTCTTTCTGCAGCTGTTGCAAAAACCTGGAGCAGCGGAACCTCAGAGCGGCGGAGCGGCACCGCCCCCTCGGCACCTCCCCGACAGCCCCTGGTGGCCGCGCTGGGCATGCTCAGTCGACAGGGCCGCTTCAGGTCTTGGAGTAGGAAGCTTGGGCGCTTCGGCTGTAAGGAACCGCGGCTGGGGGAAAATGGATCCCTTTACTAACGGTGAGTAGACAGGCAGAGGCGTCAAGGTTGGGACTCTCTGGGGCACAGAGGGACGTTGGCCGTCGGGACACGCGGGGTCGAGCTGCAGTCGCCCCCACCGTGGGTTTCCCACGAGGGTTTGAGGGCGGTGGAAGCGGACTGGGGGAGGCAGCTGGAGCCTGGGGGCGGGGGCGGGTCGAGGCCGGCTCAGGACCGGGGGCTGGCGTGAAGGTCAGTGCCACTGTATGCCGAGGGCCTGGGGGCGTCGGGTGCCTCCAGACCCGAAGCTGCGCTGCGTGGCCAGGTGGGCGAACAGCAAAGTTTGGGCTGCTTTGCGCAGAGGAGGGGAAAGTTGGCCTTCTGGGTTTGCCCCTGGAGAAGGTGGTGTCCGCCAAGGCTCTTCTGGCAGGAAGGGTTAAGCCTCGGCCACTGCCAAACCAAACTTGTGTGGTGCGCAGGGAGCTGTCCCCCCTTGTCCTTCCTCGAGTTGCCAGCGTGACTTGTCCTAATGGGGCGGGGGGGGGGGAGCTTGGCAGGTTAATTTAGTGGAAGGAAGGGAAACTTGCAGAAAGGCTTGCTTGGTCCTGCTCTGCCGAGGAGGTGCCTGCCCGCATTGTCACCCTCCTGTCTGTTGGTGAGGCACTCTGCAGGGCGTTCAAGCTTCCTTTCACGGGCTCCCGATAATACCAGTTTTTTAGTCGAAGACTCATTAACTATCAGGGGTCCGTCATGGTGATATCAAAATGTGACATGAGGCGAGAGTCAAAAGCAGGAGCCTGCAGGATGCCCTGCAAACAGCCACAGCTCTTTACAGAACGGACAGAATAAATCCCACCGTAGTTAAAACCGATGGCTTTTATTTGGACCAAAAGTGCCAGAGTCACAATACAGGGGTGAGATGTCTTACCATTTTGTGGCATTGAGTATATGGATTTCCTTTTGGGACAGAAAGTAGGAAGAATGCCAGTAAGGGAGAATTCACACTAAAATTAGACGATTCACTCTGTAGTTGACATGTATTTTCTTGCGGGTGGTTGGTTACTTCAGGTAGACAGTTTGTCGCATTAATAGAAGCCAGCATCTACTCCCGTTTAGGTGGGTCACTTGCCTCAAGAGATAGAGACATTGCCCACTATATCCGAAATCCTAGCCAGACTTTGTTTTATACTGTTCATTCGTAGGACTGCAAATTACTCATTATGTTCTCCCTGCCCCTAATTCAGAATGCTTTATTCTACTGCTGTCTCCCTGTCTGTACTGTCTAATTAGGCTTAATGATGTCAACTTTAATTCTGAATTTTCTTTCTCATTCAGGTTTTATTTGTAATTTCTAAGGCTCTAAGAATAGTGGGGTAAAGTTACTAAGAGAATTAAGGAATACTGGAGCTGAAAGTAAACTTAGAGACCATCTAGTATTTTAAGTGTAAAATATGTTTAATACAAATCATTAAATCCTTTCAAATGAATATTCCAAGGCTTTGTCTTTGTCCTAGGTAGAATATCTAGAGCTTCCATGTTTGTAGGATTTTAAGTGTGAACTTTCACTTAAAAAAAATTCCTCACAAGGCTGAGTCACTGATTTGGTCAAGACTAGTGCTAGTTGATTTGGCAGACCTGTGCCTACAGAATTAAAATACATTCTCAGATCCTCCAACTGGGGTCTTTTCTCCCTTCTTAAAATATGTTCCTCTAGATGTTAATATTAATATTTGCAGATTGTCACATTTGAGAGGATGATGGACAAGTCCCAGAGAGGTAACAAAGAGGGAGGAATGCTTCAACTTCTATGCAGGAAATTGGATTTTTAATCCTTTTCCTGTCTTCCAGATTTTCAGAATCTGTTGGAAATAGTTTGACAGTGCATCATTTTAGTTAATGTGTTAATCACTTGTTGAAGGCTTATCGAAGTGTCCTTTAACAAGGAACTAGAAACGACAACATCTAAAGTCAACCAAAAATTAGCTCCTAGCAACTTGAGGTGCTTTTTAGGTTTAAGGCTATTTATTTCAGACCTTTTGAAGGATAGCTGTAGAATTTTTCTAGTGTCTTTAAACGGGACTTGTTTAAGTATGTTTATCTTTGTACTTAGTCCTATTGAGTACAAAGGATACGTACAGCTAATTCTTTTCCCCTAGGTCTGAGTGTTTTGATGCAGAGTATTTCATTATCCCTAGAATTTATAGTTACAGGATTTATCAAGCTTGATCTTGGCTTTTGTTGCACATTCACCCTCTTCTAGTAAAATCTTCACCATGTACACTTTCTTATATATTCCTGCTTAATAGAGAGGTGTGAGAGCTTAGCGAAACCAGTTTCAGCAATTCAGAACCACTTGTCTTTCAGTTAAAATGTTGTCAGTGGTTTCACGCTCTGATCTAGAAATTTGTAAAGGAGGCAGATTTAGTTTCTGTTTTGTCATTTTTGACTTTCAGTACTCATCTATTCCAGGAGGGCTTTCTGTGCTTTCCCTGTTTTCCATCAAAACTTGCTGCTCCTATGGCTCATTTGTCTTGGGCCCTCCCTGCTCTCTGCCTGCTGATAACGGGTTCATTTGATGAATATCCTATGTTAATCTGTCCAGGTAACATACTGCTTCAACCTATTTAATATGTGTATCTCCAGAAAGGGTTTTAAGAAGGGACCTTAGTGCCAGCAATTCACATTTGGCTCAGGAGGTATTTTTTGATCTTGCCCTTGGGAGGGGACTGCTGACTGTTACACAGCGGACTATATCCAGTCTGGCTTTGGATTCTTGGTGACTTTTTTATGCGGAGAAAGATATGCTCACTAGTACTCAGGATTGGTTTGCCAGTAACTGTTATGTCCTGTTAGGCAGTTAGAGGTGAAACTCTTAGAAAATAGTCATTTATATATTACAAAAAAAACCAAAAAAAAACCCCAAAACAACCAAAACCAAAAAATTGATGGCAACTCCCTAGATGTTTTGATAGATGTACTAGATTAGGGCAAGTAGTTATCTGATGACTTTATTTCTCTTTATTTCTTTATTTCTTCTCCTTTGCATGCAGGATTAGGGTATTTGAGAATAATTTAAATTCACATTAAGGATTGTAAATGCCAAGGAAATTGGCATACACTTACAAATCTAAGACTGAGGTTTTAGAATCTGATCAAGGAGTTCTGAGGTTAGGGCTAGAAAAATGTGGGACTTCATTTTGAGAATACCAGAAGTATTCACCAGAAGGGAGCTTTTGAGAACTTTATTAGGTCAGCAAATTCAGGATTTGGAAGCATATTGATGGAGAAGGACTTTTTTTCCTGATACATACATATATTCACATATATTCATCATTTTTTTCTTATGAACAAAGTTCCCAGGAATCACTTTAGTACTACTGCCTGGTATATAACCAAACAAGGGGGATTTACCTGTCTTACAAGCTATCTTTGTTTTTGTTTTCAGATTGACATCCAATTGGAAGTCTGGAGAACAAATTTGATATTCATGGGTTGTAAGGCAGTATCAGATTGTGATTTCATCTTTTGATCTTACAAATAACAGTTGTCCTATAGCTATGCATTTCTTTTTTTTAAAAAAATAGCATCATCAGTCAAAAATAATGAGCTTACCCCATTTTGTTTATTTATATATATATATATTAACATTTCTTTTGTTCTATGATAAATGACCACATTGAAAGAAAATCCTTAAAATGGAAGATCATTGTTGCTCTGTGTAATGGAATATAAGTAAAAATATGTTTTTATCCTTCTGTCTTGAGTTTTCTATTTCAGTTAAGTGAAATAGGACTGTATAGAAATCAGATGTTAACGTCATTTAATATTCTAAGGTTGAGGCTGTAATTAGAAACTATCCAGTTTTTAAGGAAAGCAGTGGGGGGGAAAGTCCTTTGCTTTGCATAACAATTTCCAAAAAAGTGTGTCTTGAGACAAACAGCGTATTTTAGGAACGATTAAAATCAGTGATTTTTTTTTTAAAGATTTTATTTATTTATTTGAAAGAGAGAGAGAAAGAGCACAAGCAGGGGGAGGGGCAGGCAGAGGGAGAAGCAGGCTCCCCGCGGAGCAGGGAGCCTGACAGGGTGCTCCATCCCAGGACTCTGGGATCCTGACCTGAGCCGAAGGCAGACGCTTAACCAACTGAGCCATCCAGGCATGCCTAAAATCAGTGATTATCACTTATCTATAGATGATCCTTGAGAGACGTAAGATACATAACCAGAAAGATTGTTTATAAGGAAATTATCATACAGAAAATAAGCCAGGGGTGATTTCCTCTTCAGTAATTCATTCAAGCACTGTCTTTTGAATGCCCACTTACAACTAGACTTTCTGCTGGACACATTTGCAGGAAACCCACAAACCTGTCAGCAGATAATGCCGACCTAAATAAGAGAAATGAAATGGAAAAATCTAGTTTTGTTTTCATGCTAATATAAAACTAAGAAATATAGTAGAAACAAAAAAGCAATAAAACTTTAAGATAGTTTTCTAATTGTGAAATAAATGTACAATTGTCTTTATAACCCGTCTTTATAACCTGTTCATGTAACATCTGTCACCAGTAAGTTCACATTTGTAATGATTCAGTGTAATACTTCTGTTAGGAAACAACAGCATTCTGAACCCTCTCTGTGAAAGTATTAGGAAATTGAGATATGAAGGAATTTAGCCAAGGTTACTCCTGAAGTTGTGATGGAGCTGGATTAGGCCCATGGCTCTTGGCAGTTGAGGTTAGGACAGTGTCACTGTGTTCTGTCAGTTAGTTACCTCATGTCTTAAAAACTGTAGGAGGTTGGAACTAGAGCTAATAATACTAGTAGATCTTTCCATAATATTATTGGAGCAACGAGAGAAAGTCTTTCTTTTTTTTTTTAAATTTGAATCCCTAGATATGTACATTTTCTGAGTGTTCACAAGAAACCAGGATTGGGAATCAAGGCAAATTTTGGAGCTTTTGTATTGGTTCAGCAATTTGTATATCTAGTGGCCTTTGTAAAGAAAGCTGCTCATTGCCGTGGTGTTTCTGCTCAGCAAAT